CGGGCTGCCCTGTATCTGGACGACCCAGATGCCCCTAGGGCACTGCCCTGCAAGGCTTGGTGTCGAGTCTGCGGAAGGTCCCGTCCTGCTCAACATGGCAGAGGGGGGATGGCCTGCCAGCTGCCTTCCCAGAGCCCCTGGGCTCCGCAAGTCCACTTTCAGGTCTGGGGTCTTCCTGCCAGGAGCCGGCTGGAGCTGAGCAGCTGGGCTAGGCAGGGTGCTGGCTCCCCGCAGCGCGGTCACGTAGTACGGTCACAGCCGCAACTGGCACAGACTTGCGGTCAGGGGCAGGGCCAGGCAGCGCTCAGCCCGGTGTCCCCTGCCGTGCCACCCTGGGCACAACCAAAGACCAGGAGCCTTTGCTGGGGTCCAGGCCAGTGGGGACCAGCCTGGTAGGCTCCTGACTACTGGGAAGCAACGTCAGAGACCTGCCCAGCGCATGTGGCACCCGTGCCCAAGAGCCCAGTCTCCAAGGCGTGCGTCCCCACCGCCCGCAGCAGACACGCGTGCACACACATCCGTAGTCGCACACACCGATGGTGCACACAGACACCCTACTGCTCTCACAGGCATGGCAAGCATGCAAGGTCCAGTGTCACCTTGTGCTGGGGCGGGCAGGGCCATCGCTGGCTGGAGTCTGGGAATCAGACCTTCGTACATGTCCGCCGAACCATGTGTGCACCCCAGCCCCTGCTGCAGCGGCTCGGCTTCCTGGCTGAGGGTGGAGGTCGCTGGGAGCCACATGGGCGAATGCCATCCCTGCTCCAGGCAGGCGGGATGGAGCCCTCTGCCCGGCTCCCAGGCTCCCACGCAGGAAGTCCAGCGTGGACACCCCCTCCTCCTGCCTGGAATGAGAGGAATGTGGGTAGGGCAGCCGGTGGGCGTTTGCCCTTCCGGCCTGCTCCTCTCCTGCCCAGCTCCCTCTGGGGCCCACTGGGTGTGGGAGGCTGCTCTGGGCCACTCCTGGTGTCCTAGGGGAGTGGGGGGCCTGCAGGGGCCTGGGGGAGGCCTGAGCAGGAAGCTGGAGCTGAGGGAAGCGGGGAGCCTGAGTGGATGTGAGCGCGAGGGTGGGAGCTGGCGCGGGCGGCCCGCCAGCCTCGGAGCCAGGAGGCCCGTGCCAGCAGCCCGTCAGCTGGGCTTCCGGAAGCAGCAGAGCGCTGAGAGCCTGGGAAGGGCCCTGCCGGCGGAGCCGAGGCCGCCATCTCAGTGAGGCCGGGTGTTTTTTTTTTTTACAACCCATTTCACAGTTTCCAGAAAAGGAGGATCTTTTCTCAGTGGCTCACTTAACTCAGAACAAGTGCTGCTTGGTATGGCTTTGGGCTCCCGTCCTCCGCTTCCCCTCCAGTCTCATGTCGTGATCAGAGGACGGCTTGGCAGGCCTGTCGGGGGCAGGCACCTGGCCGTGCCCCAGCCTCTGGTGCACAGTGGCTTGGGGGCCCTCAGTATGGGGGCTGCCCACTGGGCCCCAGGGAGGGGCTGGCTCAGGGACTTCCCAAGGGACCACCTGCTCCTGTCTGGCCCATCCCCACTCTCAGGACCGCCCGGCATCTGTGGTCCAGCTTGTCCTGGCAATTGGGCTGGCACCCCCAGCCTTGCCTGGCCACATGGGGCCACTTCTGCCCCTGCCAGGACTGGCTCAGCAGCCACAGGAGAGCCCGGCGTCCAGGGCTCCCAGCCCTCCTGTTGCTGGGCCTCTGGATCAGCCAGGGTACAGGACAGCCAGACCTCGGGGCGTGGGGATGGGCCAGTCCCTTCGGATGGGCTGTGCCACAGGGGCTGGACCAGGGGTGTCCGCTGGCCCTCCCGGCGTGCTGGCTTCCACAGTGGTTTTCTCAGCCAGCCCAATGCCCGGGCCAGGCCTCCGCGGTGTCCTAGGCAGAGCCGGAGTGGCCCTGGTGCTAGGGCTGGAGCCTGCCCCGTATCCAGGTTGTGAACCTTGACCTGGGCCAGCAGGTACAGGGAAGAGCCGGCCTCAGAGTCGCGATACTTGGCAGCCATTAAGCCCTCTCCCAGGAAGCTCCTCGACCCATGCCACGAGCTGGTGGCTCCTGCGGGGACAAGGTGGCCTGGAGGTAGACAGGTCTCACAAGACCCATTGGCTCATGCCCAAACCCTTCAGTCCCCTTGCAGGCCAGGACCTGGGGTTGTGGTGGCCCTGGGTGACTGGGTCTGTGAAGTCCCTGGCAGGCTGGGAGCCAGTGTTTTCGGTGCCAGCACCAGGCACTTGGTCTGAGGGGGGACCCAGAGGTCCCGAGCCCCCACTCTAGTGCACACCCCGCCTGCTCTGGGCTGGTGACACCGCGTGCAGCAGGCGAGCACTGTACCAGAGGGACCAGCCTACAGCCTAGTTCCCGGCTGGACTTGGCTGGCGGCTGTGGCCCTGGCTGAGATCCAAGCTGTGCTGGCTCCCAGCAGCCGTGTGCAGGCTGGCTGGGGTGTCTGCTGGTCAGCAGGCAGGAGGTGGCAGCCAGGTCTGCCCAGGGCTCTGCTGGCTAGGCACGATGCCATCATTACACTCGGAGGTGGAGGTGACAACAGAAGTGCGGACGCCCTGCCCGGGGTTTCCCAGGTTGCTCAGGAGCCCAGCAGGCTGAGTCTTGGGTGCCGGCAGGCTATAGGGCAGACTCCCAGATTTGTAGCCGAGGCCAGGACGTGGAAAGGGGGTTCGTGTTAGAGGAAGAGCCGTGCCAGCAGGGAGGGGCGGGCAGGTCTCCAGAGCGCTGCTTGAGGGAGCTCCTGAGAGGAAGAAGCAGCGTCCCGTTGGCCTGCCGGGTGGGCTTAGTACTGGACGCCTGTGCTCAGCCGGGGTGGGGTGCACACTCCTTGGTTCTGGGCAGGGCGTGTGCACCTGTGCCCGAAGGTGGCCCGAGGTGTTCATGGCTGTGACCTTGGTGCAATGGGGGCTCTGTGACTTCTGTGTCCTGTCTTAGTACCGTGGGAACCACGGAGAGGCATGGCAGCCCGCCTCTTGGGTTTTCTGTGTACGAGGAAGAAAAGACCCCTGTGGACGCCCAGCCTGTCTGTGCAGGCGGCATGCCCGGGACCCCACCAGAGGCCCATGAGGCTGGCTGCTCACCCTCGCTCCTGAAGGAGTGGGAACTGGCTGTAAGAGGACATGCCAAGAGGGTCCCGCAGCCCGGGCAGCAGGAGAATGCCACCCCCACTGCTCACAATATGGGAGAGCCCAAGGTGCGGGCTTCTCAGGCCCAGATCCTGGTGAGATTCTTTCTCCAGACCCGACTTTTGGACCAGGCTGTTTCCCACTGTCCCTGGGAGGACCAGGCGGGTGGGACTTTCCTGGGAGGGAGCGGGGGCGGGAAGGCCTGGGGGACTGGGCGGGCCTGGGCGGGCCTGGGCGGAGCAGCTGAGAACTTCCTGCTCACCCCACAGGCATGCCCCCAGGGTCCCCAGCCCCTCCTCTGCCTGCGGTCTGGCCTGGTGTCCATCCAGTGTCATCCGGGAAGTCCCTGGCTCCCGGGCACCGAACTTCGGCCCCTGCCCCCAGTGGTTTGGCTCTCCCTGACACTTCCTCACCACCTCCGAGGGCCAGCACTCATGACCCGGGGTCCCCGTGTGCGAGGCCCCGCACCCTGTGCCCGTTCGCACACTGAGAGGGGAATGGAGCTACCTCCTCTGTCCCCGCCCCCAGCCGGGAGTTGGCGGCACTGCTCCTGGCACTGCCAGGTCCCCTCGGGCACCCCTCCCGGGCTTCCCTGGCCTGCCGCCTCTCTGCTGAGTCACCACGTCTGGGACACTCCCTGGGCCAGCCTGACCGGATGAGGCATCACAAATTCCCCTTGCCCCCCAGGCAGGGGAGCAGCCCCCAGAACTTACATTGGGCCAGGCCAACAGCCCCAGCCCAGACCTGGCCAGCCCCTACACTGGGCCTCGTTCCCCCTCAGCCTGGCGCACGGGTGGGCGGCTGGCCGCAAAACCTTAATGTCCTGGGCCAGGCTCATTGCCCATGGGGCATCATGCGGGTGGGGGCACAAGTGTGGCCCAGACCACCCACCACATAGAGGCCAGCGTTGCAGGGTGCTCTGTGAACACTAGGTCCTTGGTGTGCAAGAGTTGGTAGCCATGGCAACCCAGGGAGGCTGGCTCACCTTGGCCTTGGCCACTGGACCCAGGCATGGCTGCACTGGGGCTGCAGTGGAGGGCGCATGCAGGCTGGGGCTGGCTCGTACCCCGCAGCAGCTCACCACTCCCACTCCCAGCCGCCTGGGGAGCAGCAGTGCTGCCGCCCACCCGCAGGTAGTGGCTGACTGCAGCGTGAGCCACCCAGGCAGGGCCTACGCAGCCTTCCCGAGGTTCTCAGAGCAGACGGACGACGGGTCTGTCCGCAGCCGCCCCCTGTCTTCTCACCACCCTGCCTCTTCCCTCGGGCTGTCTCTGCTTGCTCACCTGCCTGGGACCCCTTGGGAGAGAAGAGGATGAGACCCCTGGCCTGAGGGGCCGCCCTGCCCCTAGGGCATCGCCTTAGCTCCTTCCGGGTGTGGTGGGGCTCTGGAGGTCAGGGAGGCTGCTGAGGAGAGACCCTGCAGGCAGCCTGCCCCTGGGCTCATCGGGCTTTAGGACCGGGGCTGTGGTCGATGTGGGTGGTGACCATGGTGATGCCCTGGTCGGTGAGAGCAGTGGTGCCAGCTTGGCAGTGGATGGCACAGTGCCTGACAGTGCTGTGGGTGGTGGTAGTGGCGTGGTTGGTAGTGGTGACGTGGGCCGTGGTGGCGTGGTTGGTAGTGGTGACATGGATGACATTGGTTGGCAATAGTGCTTTGGGTGGTGGGGGTGAAGTGGTCAGTGGTGGTGACATGGGTAGTGGTGACGAGGGTCGTTCGTGGTGGTGGTGAGTGGGTCGTGTGGGTGGTAGTGGTGGAGGTGGTGGTTGTTGGTGGCAATGTGGGTGGTATTACAGTGGTGGTGGCGTGCTGGTGGCGGTGAGGGTACTAGTGGAGACGGTAGCAGGAAGATGCCAGGGAGGGTGGCTGAGGAGTAAGGAGATGCGGAGCGCTGACTGGGACTGTCAGGGCCAGCATTTCCTGCCCCAAGAAGTCGGTGGGACTAGCAGATGGTGTAATGGTTGTGTCACTGGACTCCCACATGACCAACCATAGTTTGAGTCCTGGCCCCAGCATCTGGAAACACACCGCACACGTGTGCGTGCGTGCCCAAGATCCCGAGACTGGAGAAGGGATTGCGGCGTGGCCACCCCCCGGGGTGACTTCTTGCTTTCTGCCTCTGTCTCTCTGGTGAGCACACACAGCCTGTGGCAAAAGTCTCTCTGGGGGAAAATAACAAAAATCTCTCCGAAAAAGTAAATAAATCAGCCATTGGCTTCTTCATGTGGCCTGAGGGCCCCCCCATGGAGAAGGGCTCCAGGTCGGGGTGCTGCCACCCAGAATCACTCTTGCTCTGTGTCCACAGCCAGCAGCCGCCTGATGGGAAGCTCTCCGGCCTCCTCCTTCATGGGCAGCCTCCTCACCAGCAGCCTGGGCTCAGCAGCCTCCACGCACCCCAGCGGCCCCGCAGCCTCCCCCTCGGAGCAGGCCTACCGCAGCTCCCACTCCACCCCCTCTCAGATCTGGTTCTCGCACTCACACGAAGGTAAGTTCTGGGCCTGGGCTGCGGTGACTGTGACGTGCCCGGGCCGGCCAGTGGCAGGAGAGGGGCTGCTCTGGCTATGGGCCTTGCCCAGCAGACGTGCTGAGAAAACCCCTCGGGGAGGTGGTAATTGGCTGGAAGTGGGACGGCCCACTAGGCCGTGGTCCTGCCAGATGTGCACTCCAGATGGGCAGAGGGGAGAAGGGGAGGGCAGGGAGGCTCCCGGAGTGGGGTGCGGAACACAGCTGTGCAGCCAGCTGGGCTGCCCTGCGCCTGGGCTCTGCCCCCCCAGGAGGTGTGGGCTCCAGATGTGCCAGTTGGGGGCGGGAGGAGGGACCTGTCAGCAGGGTAGGCCACACCCCAAGGCCTGGCCCAGCACACAAGGTCCCCCCGCAGGACACTGGCCTCCCGAGGGCAGCCCTAGGTATCCGGTAGGTTTCTCGCAGAGACCTGTCAGTAAGGCTCCCTTTGGCCCTCCCCCAGGGCGGGGCTCCCAGCCCACTCTCTATTACCTGCCCCTCTATGAGGCTGTGACAGGCGGCAGCTGTGGCCCCACAGTGGCCAGGATTTATAGGACGCCCTGTCCCCTGCAGCACGGAAAGGGTTAAGCCCCCCCCCGCCCTGCGGCTGGCACGCGGAGAGGTAATTGCTGTTGGCAGCGGGCACACAGGGCTCTCCGCTCCTGGCACAGTGCTGCCGTAACTCAGTGACTGCTCAGCAGCGGGCGTCGTGTTTACAGAGCGCCGCGGACCCACAGCAGTGCCGCTGCTGTGTTCAGGCAGGGAGATTAGCGCCCGGCCTTGCTGGAAGCCAGAGAAGCCTCTCTATGCAGCAGGGAAGGGCGTTCTCAGGACAGTGGCGAGGGAGGGACAGTTGGTAAAGCCATCCAGGCTGAGGAGCCATGCAGCGCGCACATGTGGGTCAGGCCGTAAGGACAGTGCTCTGCCTGGAGGCAGGGAGGCCGAGTGAGGTCCTGGGCCTAGTCCCACCCAGGACACCGGGCCGGCACAGCCAGGCCCTGCACAGCCAGGCCCTGCACCGGCTTCAGGGGCAGCCCTGGGCAGGCCCTGCCCTCCTGGCCCTCGCCCCTGGGCAGCCAGCCTGTGTCTGCTGGGCCAGTCCCCTGCCAATGGCTTTCTCTGGCTCCAGAGTTCTGCTGGGGGGGCCCTGCAGTGCCTGTGGGACCCCTCAACAGCTGCTGCCCCGCCCCGCCCAGCTGCAGGTGCCCCGGCTGCCTGGGAGGCCCCAGGGGCCAGGGATGGGCAGGGGGCTGCTCCCTCCTTCTGCCCTTGGACCCCGCCAGAAGGAGACGGTTTGCGGGCAGCCCCACCTGCACCCAAGCCCCATCGGCCCCCCAGGGCTGCCGAGAGTCCGGGCGAGCAGTGGATGCGGGGAGAGGCACCACCGCCACA